CCCCAAAACCCCAAAACCCCTTACAATATAAATTCAAGTTTCAGAACAATTTATAAAAATAAAATAGCAAAAGAGTAGTTAAAATATCTCACTTTAAATTTATATTCAAATTTTCTTTTGAGGAATGGCTAAGTTGAGTAATTTAATCTACAATTGCATTAACTTTTCTTAATTTTCTTCTTCTTCCTTATTAATCAGTTCTTATAACTATATTGCTATTTGCTCATCATCTTAAACGTTTAATTTCTCCTTTTACTAAATTCTAAGTTAATTCTCAGGATTAAAGTTATTATTTATCAAATTTTATTGCCTTATTTAATTGTTATTAATGCTATTATACTTTGGCTATATTTACTTGTACTTTTCTTCTTAGAAATTTTAATAATTCTTGTATTGAGGAATTTGATACTAGTTTTGGTTGAATTTTTGACCAATTTGCTAAATTTTCAATTAATGTTTTTAAGAATCATTGTTTGCCAATAATTGCTCTATCTAATATTCAAGTTCTTAGATCTAGATCTTTGAATTAACCTCTTATTATTACATTAAGTTTAAGGAATCAGACATACTTTCAATTTCCTAATTTAAGTAAGCTGATTCAGACATGATAGCTTCATTTTATTTCCTCAGTTTATACTCCTCTTCTTGTTATACTTTAATGATATTTTTTAGTTCCTCTTCAGAAATAACATATTGCTATATCCTTTATTATAAAATGACATTTTCTTGTTCAAGTTAGTTTATCTTAACATAGAGCTCTTCTTGGCTAATAAGATGAATTTTGTCATCTATAATTGCTGGCTAGGGTTCGACAATTTTTAGCAAGCTATTTCCTTAAATTTCCACTTAAGGAACATCTATTTGATCAAAATCTTAAAAATATTTGCAAATCTCTATGTGCTGAAAAAAATTTTAGTATGGGATAGCATTATTACAAGGTTTTTCACTTCCACATTTAAATTCTAATCAGTTCAATAAATCTAAAAGATCACTCTTTACTTTTATGAAAAGTGATATTTCACATCTCTTTGGGCATACAAAGCTAATACTCTATATACACTCTTAGCAATACAATGACTTGCAAGAAGCGCATTGCAAAGGATCTTAAACTACCATTAAGCATATAATGCATGTAAACTTATCATTGTATTCATCTCCTTTCTATTTAGGTCTGTAATTTTCAGGGTCTATTTTAGGTTGATTCTTTTATTTTTTGTTGCTTTTATTCATTATTTTTCTTTATTATTTATTTATCAATTTCTTATTCAACTTAACTTTTTATTTTGGGGTTTTGGGGTTTTGGGG